TAAAGACATTCAAATTCATATACCAAGAACGACTGAAACTAGGATTAGAACGTTCTAAAAAGAAAAAAGAGCGGTTGGAGAAACAACGAAGTTTGGGCCAAGAACGTTCTGGAAAATAAAACGAGTGATTGTGGAACAACAACGTTTGGGCCAAGAACGTTCTGAAAAGCAAGACGTGCGATTGGAGGAACAACGAAGTTTGGGCCAGGAACCTTCTGAAAAACAAAACGAGCGGTTGGAGGAACAAGCTATGTGTAAGTGTAACAAGCTATTTTTTGTTTTTCAGAACGTTCTTGGCCAAAACGTCGTTGTTCCTCCAACCGCCCGTTTTGTTTTCCAGAACGTTCCTGCCCCAAACTTTATTGTTCCTCCAACCGCCCGTTTTGTTTTCCAGAACGTTCCTGCCCCAAACTTTATTATTCTTCCAACCGCCCGTTTTGTTTTCCAGAACGTTCCTGTCCCAAACTTTATTGTTCCTCCAACCGCCCGTTTTGTTTTCCAGAACGTTCCTGGCCCAACCTTTATTGTTCCTCCAACCGCCCGTTTTGTTTTCCAGAACGTTCCTGCCCCAAACTTTATTGTTCTTCTTCGCCCGTTTTGTTTTCCAACCGCCCGTTTTTGTTCCTCCAACCGCCCGTTTTGTTTTCCAGAACGTTCCTGCCCCAAACTTTATTGTTCTTCCAACCGCCCGTTTTGTTTTCTCTAGAACGTTCCTGCCCCAAACTTTGTTCCCCCAACCGTTTTGTTTTCCAGTTTTTTATTGTTTTTTTGTTTTTCCAGAACGTTCCTGCCCCAAACTTTATTGTTCCTCCAACCGCCCGTTTTGTTTTCCAGAACGTTCCTGGCCCCAAACTTTATTGTTCCTCCAACCACGTTTTGTTTTCAGAACGTTCCGTCCCAAACTTTATTGTTCCTCCAACCGCCCGTTTTGTTTTCCAGAACGTTCCTGTCCCAAACTTTATTGTTCCTCCAACCGCCCGTTTTGTTTTTCAGAACGTTCCTGTCCCAAACTTTATTGTTCCTCCAACCGCCCGTTTTGTTTTTCAGAACGTTCCTGTCCCAAACTTTATTGTTCCTCCAACCGCCCGTTTTGTTTTTCAGAACGTTACTGGCCCAAACATCTTTGTTCCCCCAGTCTCTTTTTTTGTTTTTCAGATCGTTCCTGGTCTAACCGTCCTTGTTACTCTAATCGTTCACTTTTTTTCTGATAGATTTTCGTGAATTCCTCCATTGCTTCTTTTAAATCCTCCATGTTTCATCGTAGAGAAAATTTATCTGACTAAACAATTTCCTACTCATTTTTTCCTCGTAAAATATTACTGAACAAATAATTCTTACTTGTTTTTAACATGTCAATCTGTTATGTTGATTTGGAATTAATCCTAGTTTCAGTTGTCGCCATCAATTTCTTGGTACATGACTGTAAATGTCTTTAGACCCTAATCATCGGTTTGCCTTGGCATTACACTGGAAAATTTTATACTCGAAATTTTCGATATCAAATGTTGGGATCCCCCGGGAAATTTTGACATTCGAATCCCTCCTCGCCAAATGTGGTGTGGCAAGGTTGACACACATATAGAAACTAAATAGTTTATTCTGGAGAATAATATGGTACATGGTTGAAAACACAGTCCCATGTAATAAACAATTAATCGATGACTCCTTGGTATTTAGCCGAGACCTCCCCACAAGGCGAGATGTGGCACAAGGTCGGTTTTTAACTGGGGCGTTCCAAGCCCATAGGTTCGAGAGAAAATTGTCCGTCGACCGCGAATACACGGAATCGGTTACCTGTCTACCTCCCCAGACGAGACTCTGTCCTTCGTCATAATCTCGTTTGGGTTTCTCTCCGTCCGAAGGCAGAGAGTCGACAAGCAGAGAAACGATCAATCGTTGACTCTTCTCTCTCAGTAAAAGAGAGGGGCTATTTAAGTAGTTTTAGACCGGTCCATCTTGTGGGGACAACAAGATGGATTGGTCTAAGATTATTTTTAAAAGTGTTCAGCTACTCCACAACATTATGACTTACCATTTCTATGTTAGGTAAGGGGAATGAATCAGAGAATATCTGATGATTTACACCTACTTTGTAGTCTCCGCATATACTCAAGTCACCATTGGGCTTTCGTATCACAACTTGTGACGCCCAACTGCTAACACCTTGAGTAACTTTATCCACTATGCCTTGTTTTATCGTTTCCATTAGTTTTGCAACTACCGTGGGTAGAATTTGAATAGGTATTTTTCGAGATTCAAAATAGATCGCGTGACTATTTTCTTTTAGACTAATATTTGCTTTATATTCTTTCAATAGTTCAATGTCAGTTTCTTCTGATGTTATACAGTTTATTAATTTCGCTGTATCTACTTTTAAAATGTCTATTCCCAGAAGTTCATGACTTTTTGAGCATTCTACAACAGTGATGAGAATAATCTCATAACATTTTTTTTGTCTCGAAACTTCCTTCAAAGGAGCCTAGAATTTTGATGACAGATGCATCAAATTGTTTTAAATTAAGATTACTTTTTCTTAATTTGTTTACCCATTTTTCTCAGAAATTCATTGATCTAAAGGTAACATCGTTCCCCATACCAACCAGCATGGGAAAAGTTATACCATTCATTTTTACTGCCTCTCTAATTTTTGCAAATTTTTCTTTTCGACGTTGCTTCTGTATTTTCAGTATAAGGGTTTATACTTTCTCCTCTTTCTATTCTCTTTTTGTATCTGCACACAGATCGGAAATGGTCTGTTCTTTTAGAGTTGAAACATAATTTTCCTAGGGCTGGATATTTATTTTTGTTTCTTTCATATTCTTTGTCGCAATATTTGCACTTAATTAGGATTTTAGTTGTATTGCATGCCACATAATTTTTAAAATTAATAAATTCATTAATTCTAATTGCTGTAAGAATACTACACTCGATTCTAAATTCATATCTTTTACTTGTAGCTGTCCTAGGATCTTATATTTATATGTAACGTCATACATGTGTTTAATTAATCTTAGAACGATCAATTCGTCTTCTATAGACATTTCTCGGGAACCCAATTTTTCAAATTAGCAATATCTTGACGATTCTTTCAATCTGTGTAAATATTGCGTTAGTTTGGGTTGTGTCTATTTTCCAGAAATTTTGTTCTTTCTGCAATAACCAGCTTTTTGTTGCACATTTCTTTTTATAAGGGTTGACATTCCCTCGTATGTTAAGTCTTCCAGTATTTTGGGGGTATACCATAATGGATGTTTTCTTTATGGCTTCAAATCCTTCCTAGGCCAAAAATAAATCAGTAATTTCATTCCCCTCCTCCGGAGGCTTTCTTATCTTTCAGTTTCTTTACCCTAGCCAACTCTGCTAAACATCCACGTTTCTACGTACTCCAGTTCACCCAACGTGGTTAGGAATCCTATCGGCGACGCCATATTGTTATGAAGTAGAGTAGTCTCTAAAACATACGTTGTCAGGTCAACAGATTGTAGCTCGACTGGCATTCGCTTGGTCGCACTGGTTTTATAGCAGTATTTCATTTACATACAATACTATAATTGTGCTAATCTAATCTGCATCATAGAAACTACAACTAAAATTACAATTTGTTAAGTAGTAATTTTAAAGTTCATATTGTTTCTTAATAGGTAAAGTTATAAATGAACAGCATTGCTAAAAAAAAAAACGTCTATGAAAAAAAAAACTATTAAGATCCAACAAATCTGGCAATTAAGATCTACCAGAAGACGGGGTGAACGAAAAATGCTAACTGAAAGGAAATATGGCTCCAACAAGATAAACACCCAACTAAACCACTTGGAAGGATTAAAAAGTCTTTTGAGAAGAGAAATCCAACATGATTACTGGCTTTTCCCAGTCAACTGGGTTTTAAAAATGGTGCAGGTATAAACAAAAACAGAAACTTAACTATCTGGCTAGTGTACTAACAGACAGCGCAGAAATAGAGAATGTGATACAGAATACATATATTAGCACATATGTGTAATTAATATTCTATATTTATGTAGCTTATAATCCCTGGCACTCGAATAATATATCTAAACCAGATCTTGGATTACTTGATGGCTGAAGCAGTTGCGCATATTCCAAGTGTGATAGAATATACTGTACAATTGAAGTTGAATGTAATTGTTAATGAGGAAATCCATTAAACATTTATTATTGCTTAGTGAGTTCAATCCTCTCTTGTGTCCCATAGTTTATTTTATGTTTACAATGATGTTTACCTTGCACAAGGCTCAAGAAGGTTAAAAAGTAAGCGGTGGAGTTTATGATATGTGGGAAATATAACGGTTAACCCTAGACATGAACAGGTTAAGATTGTAGTGATCAAAGAAACATCATCTTAGGAATCGGCGAATGAGTGTGGTCCGTGACAATGTGTGTAGCATGGCCGTGAAGAGTAGAACTGGTGGAACTCAGTTATTTGCCATGCGTGATACACGCTTAGGCGATCATGTATCTTTCGATACATGACTGTAGAGGCAGATCTTTTTCCTGCAGTAGATTGCCATTTCTTTCTACGGTAGACTAGTTGCCCTCCAAAGCTATAGAACCCGGTTTGTCCTGTTATTTACCCATAGCTGGGGGAGAAGAAGAGGATTCATACCTTTCCCAAGAATATTAGCACATCAGTCAATTATGTGCCATGAGTGATACACGCTTAGCCGATCATGTATCTTTCGATACATGACTGACCAGGCGGACTTTTTCCTGCAGTAGGTTGCCATTTTTTCTATGGTAGACCAGTTACCATCCAAGGCTATAGTACACGGTTTGTCCTGCTATTTACCCATAGCTGGAGGGGAGAAGAGGATTCATACCTTTTCCAAGGGTATTATCACGTAAGTGAATGTAATGGATTCAACTGGATTTCCCAATTCTCCAATCCGAACCACTATCCATTACTCCACCGTGCCTTCTGGTGGAACTAAGAAATGTAATTCAACCAAGCAGGTTTTTAAAATCAAAACCACCGGCATCATATGACGCGGACGCTTCAGCGCGGCGCACACGTCCACACGACCGGCACCAGACACAGTTCCTTTCTGGTCCTTCGTGCAAGTCGACGCGCGGTGTCCGAGGGCAGAAGGCGCACTCTAAATTCCACCTTCACCTGAGCGTGTCGGCGGAGGCGTCTTCTGTCGGGCCCGCGAGTTTACTGCCCCCTTCTGCCGGGGACGGAGGAAACGAAAACGCGATCCGTTAGACGTGGCGAACCGGTTTCTTCTCGTCGGACGATCCGCGCAGCGATTCGCGCGCCCCTGGTGCCCCACCGCAAGACGACAGAGTCACTAGAACATAGTAGGTTACAGGGAATGAAAGTGAATGATAACATTGAAAATGGGGAGTATCGGGGAAAGGGCAAAAAAAGAAAAAAACTTCAAGAAGACAGAAGATGGCGATTGATGTTACATTTAAATTTTTAGCAGATTGTATTTATCAGAAAAGCAAGAAATCGGAAGTGAGTTGCACAGAAGGGAAGACTTAGATTAAAAATGACGATTTCATTTAACTAGTTCAACAGCAAAGCGCTGAGAGCTTGTTGCCGATCTAGTAGCACGCTTAAATTCATTCATGTAGTCGGGGAACCAGGAAAAAAAAGGTCGTCCGAGTAGATACCACGAAAATGTTTCTAGAGCAGGCAGCTACGTCACGTCGGTGAGAAAATGACTGGCGACGAGATGCCAGGTCAGGACGGATTGTATTGCAGACCCATCTCTGGATTGTCTCAAGATTCACGAGATGCACAGTAGCGAGAGGCTTGCACCGTTTCGTCTGTGAGAAAGGGATTGTAGGGTGGAAAATAATTTTTCACAAAGATTCGGAGACGCTTTTGGATATTATCGAAACTGGAAAGGGAAGACCGTGCAGCTTCTGGCCATATATGTCCACAGTACAGGATAGATCCAGTTGAAGAGTTTGTGATATTTGAGAGCCAGATAGATAAATTCTTTTTTCGTGGGGTTGGGGCGAATATTGCACTGATAATTCTTTGTAGAGTAACAGTTATTTTTTCTAGATACAACTCCTATTATTTAACCCATAGCTGGAGGAGGAGATAAAGGGTTATTTGCACGTAGATGAACTTAACGAACTCAAACTAATATTCGAACTCTATCTATTACATCACCCGCCAGTTTGTCGCGTGGGCAATAAAAAACTAATTGTTAAAGACGCCATCCCAAAAAGATTGAATTGCGACATATATATATATATATATATATATATATATATATATATATATGTGTGTGTGTGTGTGTGTGTGTGTGTGTGTGTGTGTCCTTTGATTATCCCTTTTATTAACAAACATCCCGCTCCACCCTTTACCTCTCCCTCAACACTTTTAATTTTTGACTCTCTAGTACTCACTCATTGACACTTACACACTCCCTCTCTCTCTCTCTCTCTCTCTCTCTCTCTCATACATTCATTCTCACAATATTTTTTTCACGCTACAGGTGTATTTTACTCTCTCTTTTTCGTTTTCACGTGCTCACTCATTCTCTTTCGCTTACTCTCACACATTCATCATAACAAGCACCCCTTCTCAAACACGCTTTTACACTCTCCTCTGCGTCACATTTATATACACTCTTTTTTTATCACACATTTTTACACTCAGACACTATCCCGTGTTTCCATAGATTCACACCCATGCTATCTATCTATCTATCTATCTATCTATCTATTTCAGTCTCTTCATTATCTATCAATCTATTCATGTCTCTTCAGTATCTATTTATCTATCTATCTATCTTCGCTTGTATCTTCATTATCTATCTATCTATCTATCTATCTATCTCAGTCTCTTCATTATCTATCTATCTCTATAACATTCAACACACATGTTCATACACACGGACTCTCTTTCTCGCACACATTCGCAACCACAAACCGTTCTCTGATATTCACACACACACACATGCACACATTCTTTCACACTCATTCTCTTTCTTGTTCTCACACAGTTTCATGCACACAAAATCCTCACTCTCACATTCACACACATATTGTCTCTTTCTCAAACATATTCTCATTCATGCACACACACACACACACACATACTCTCTCTCTCTCTCCCCCGTTAGCCCTCACACTCACACTAGACTCTCCCATTCCCACATATTCACGCACACAGACTCTCTCACCCATTCTTACTCGTACGCTTTTTCTCACACTACAGCCGTATTTTCATATCTCTCTCTCTCTTTCGTTCTTACATACTCTTTCTCGCCTTCTCAGTCACTCTCACACATTCATAATCACAAACACTCATTCTCTCACACATACTTTCAAACACTTTCTCTCCGTCGCATTCATATACCATCTCTTTTTCTCATCGTCACACCCAAAGACTCTCTTATCCTTTCACGCATTCACATTCTTACTATATATCTCTTTATCTATCTATCTGTAACAGTCTTACATATCAGTTCGCTCTCATACACTTTCTTCCTCACACATTGCCACTTACTCCACACTCTCACACACCTTCACTTTCACAAATTCTCACTCACATATTTGCACACGCACAGATTCCTTCTTTCTTACACAAATTTCACACTCTCTCTCTCTCTCTCTCTCTCTCTCTCTCTCTCTCTCTCTCGCTCGCTCGCTCGCACACATATTCACAGTCACATATATACTCTCTCGGTCTCACATATTCCCCCACACACTATCTTGCAAAATATGTTCATATATATTTGTCTATCTAGCTCTCAAATATCACAAACTCTTCAACTGGATCCATGAACCAAAATCCCTTGCTGACTCCAACAAAAAAAAAAGTTATTACCAAAATTAATTGGCCATTTCAAGAGTGAATTTATTCCTACGTTTTACCAATTTTAAGGAAATTCAAATCTCCAATCTAAATTCAATTTATGAGCACTTTTCACAAGTTAATCTGTTTATACCATAGTGGATAGTTCGTAGTTGGAATAGCCGACCGTTTTTATTTATTAAAATGTGTGCACTACGTCTATCAGCCTGTGCATTGGAGAATGTGCAGACCAGTTAACATAATACATACTGTGTAATAAGTCAAAATGGAGCGTCTATTTCAAACACGAAGTATTCAGTATGATATCTGCATTGTTTATAGTGCATATAATTGCATTCTTCATAGTGGTATTTTATAAGATATTCATTTTTTTCGACTTTTAAGTAACGTAGTAAAAAGCTTTCAGGCCTGCATTTTGGGATAATTTCTGATCGTTTATTTAGTAATTTGTGTTGGTCTGGGAAAGTGATTATAGCCAAAAGAGAAAATATTATGTTCATTTTATACTAGAAAATATATATATTTTATGTCATATTTTTGGTTTAATTTCCCATATATATTTAAAAAGCTTGCACTTTTCACATATTTAATATTTGTAAAGAATGTTTTGTGTACGTAGTTTCTCTTTTTCTAGGATCATTCAGTTACTCCTATGTATGCTATCTGCTGATTTTACTGTGGCTTAGTATATTATATTGTTTGGCAAGCAATTGCCATTTAAGTGACATTCGTTCATTGGTCTGCAGTTAAAGGTGGGTTTTATTTGTGTGGGTAGTTTGTTGATTATTTTTGTACTTTTTTATTATTTGTGTCATATTCTCGATGTAACTGTAGCTGATTTATTTTATATACATATATGTGTGTGTGCGTCTGTCTATGCATGTGTGTGCACCAGATCTGTTGTAAACGTAAATCGACCAAGATTATTTCATCATTATGTAATCTGTAAGCACAAAGAAACAGAGAAGCTACTTTATGCAACAGCCAGAAAGGCCTTTATACTGAGCAGATGTGCATGAGACACCACAAAAAATGATGATTTTCACCACAAAACAGCGGTTAAATATTGAGATGAGACATTTAATGTTCGCGCATTAGAAAGTCGTCATGAACTTATTGTTGTGCATGTTGAATATGTAATTAACAATGATAAATAGTAGATCTGGTGTAGCACTTTCAACAGTGGCTAGTACGAATCAATACAACGAGTCACGATAATGAACACCAAAACACGAAAGGGTTGATACATTCATTATAGATGATAGCGTAAGTATCGTGATATGTCTGTGGAATTTGATCTTCTAGAGTTGGTGGTCCACAATATTGTCCACAAGAAGTTTCGATGTTGCCTTGCAAACGAGGATATGACTGGGATTTTTAGACAATAATAATAATAATAATAATACATCGACACAATTATTGATCAACCGTAATCGTGATTATAGCCATTGTGAACTCCATGATCTTGCGAAGGGCTGCAGAATATGTGTTACACCATTGCTGCATATGATTTTGATTTCAGAGTTGAACTTCGTCTAAACTGACTGCCAACCACAGCTACAGAGTCCAGTCTGCTCGGCTGTTTAACCCATAGCTGTCGGGAGATAGAGAGATAGATTGATGCCTTTCTTAATGGTATTTGCGCCAAAGTAAATACAACAGGCGCAGCTGGAATTTGAATTCGATTCGCCGATTTCTTGTTCTGTCTATCGAATGGAGACATCTTTGCATCTCTGTAACAACATCGTCTGTTATGTGTAACTGCTTTCTGGATAAATGCCGTTTAAGGAAATGAAACGGATGATAATCTGGATTTTATGGTGGATATAATAAAACACGAGTAACACGAAAATGCATGCGTTTTTTTTTCGAAATGAAAGCACGAAAAAGCTACCTTTATTTTTTAAGTTACCAACAATCTGAGAATTTTTCCGATTAAAATGAAATTTTTATGCACTTATTCGTTAATAAATATCTTATCAGTCACATTCCTATACATAGTGAACAATTTTAAAATAGTCGACTGATGACAATTTTTTTTTTTTTTAGTTTTATAATAAATCATCCTTGAAGATATTTCGGTAAACAGAAATAACTATGGAACATCAAATCCGTATATATTGAAAATTTATCCTAAAACCGTACACTGATTATTCAATAAAACTTGAAAATATTTTTTAGAAAGTTTGTGCTTGCATAATTTAATAAAACACGTTATTGACAGAAAATCTACGATGAATTTTTGAAAAAAATTTTGTAAACTTTTCGGTGCGACTATGAAATTCTTTTATTTGCTGGGGATAAAAGATCTTTTTTTTTTTATTAAATAGAGATGTGTTTGAACAAGTGCAAAATCTAAAGTCGAATGTCATTTTCACATCAGAGATTTTCTTAAAAGAATTTTATTTTAGTTATATTTTAAATACTATGTTATTTTTGCACAGGAGAACAAACAAGAAATAATTCCACAATTCTCAATTGCCTTCTTTGATTATTATTCCTGCTAATATGAAAAATATTCATTCTACTAAGAGACATAGAAACCGATCGAAACGTTTGAGAATTAACATTACCCGCTCCATAAATTGTACAAACTTCCTTTCTTGCATGTTTGTCTTTATGAAACAAAACATATATTAAACCGAATTTGTTTATTTTCTTCCACCTTCACCTATATCGGACCACAAAATCATAAATATTTGATGAGAACTCCTATACGGAAACATTTCAAACCTCAAAAAGAGTACGACAAAGAGGAAATGAAAACCCCAGCTCATTTACAACTTTCCTAGATTATGCCCTGCAAGCACATACAAGCACAGACGTGAAGAGATGGACACGTATGACAAAGCGTAAAAGAAACAGTGATCGAGGCCAATTTACTAAAGACGAGAGGGTAGGCGACTATGACAGTGTGATTGATCACGTAGGTATTCCTACTGATATAAGAATGCTATTAAACCAAAAGTCAAGTGTTCAAGAAATAAAATTCACGAATTACATTTTCAAAATATAAAACTATGATCTGAAATTGGAATGAAAGCACAGATGATACTGATCTGATTCCATGGGAAATATTCGGAACGTGGAATTAGTAAATGCTAAACACTTTGTATACCTCGGTGAATGGATCAGTTATAAGAAATATCGTATAGAACAATGATTCCCAACCTTTTTTTTTTTACACATAGACCCCCTTTTCACTTCTTTTATTTCTTGGTGGGACCCTTAATAATTATTTGACATAAGACAACAATATTCTATTTTTCACTATTAAAAAATTTGAGGTTTTAATAATCAAAGAAATATTATATAATTAAACTTTATTTCTAAATGAAAACTAATTTAATGCAAATAAATTATTCTATAATAATAATAATAATAATAATAATGATTTTTATTGTCCAATATATTGTATTACAATATTACAATGTTTCTTCCATGGTCAAGCCCATGAGGAGGAGAGCTCTTTAGGCAATTGAATTCACTGCAGCATTTATTTATGCACACTGGTTAAAAATTTTTATAAACCAATTTAAGTAAGCGTGTGATTAGAAGAAAAAAAGAAAGACATCAACCACAGGGATGTCATTGAATAAATATATTCAATGAGACCCGTGTGGTTGATGCTACTCAACGAGTTTATTTATATCTGGTTCCATCGATGTTAATGATAATCACCTCTCTTCACGATGTCAAGTCTATTGCGAACTTTTGATAATAGTTGAAAAACATGACTAAATACCCATTCAACAAGATATTGGAAAAGCAATAACGTAGAACTGTGCTTTATTCCAGAGTAAAGAGTACTTTGTAGCAATATCATTGGCTTTCTTCATGGACCACCAAAATATCATTGTTGGCCCCCTGTTATGGGATCTTACCCATAATAATAATAATGGACTATTCCATACTTAATAAATACTGCGCTTCAGTAGCAGGCAAGAAATCAGTCGTTCGAGCGAGTCAGTCGTTCACCTCTGAACTGACTGTTCGGTTCAATAATGGAACCCGATTCGCCGAAGGGCGGACCTTCGGGGTGGTTAAATC